GAGACCTGCGTACAAGGCTGCAAACGAAACCATACCTTCCGCAGTGGTAATCGGCAATAACCACCAGGGCCGTAAGGAGGAACGATGACCCGAGGCGGGAGGCGTTACCTCTTTCACCGTCAACTAGCGGCAACGCCGTCAAACCACTGCGTGCGGTGTTTGTTCTTACTTTGTCTGAATGTTGTAGGTGTTCGGCTCCTTTCACATTGTGAGGGATTCCGCATATCGGCGTCATTAGAGGGGGACATTAGAGAAGGGTGCGACATTACACTGGAGAAGTTAGAATATTACCATTCGAGCGGGACGACACCGAAAAAGTTAGAACAATAGCTCCAGAACATTAGAGGGGGATATTAGAGAAAGGCGCGACACTGAAGAAGTGTGAATATGAGAGTTAGGCGGCGTTACACCAGTAACATCAACTACCGGCAATACCGTCGAACAGTTGCAGTGTTCGTTCTTTCTTTGGCCCCTTTGGGAGGATATTGGCCACAGCAAAGCCACTTAGAGAACGTTGCCTGAGTGTTACTACGTTCTTACCGGCGCAAGAATAGGGAGGCGACCGTAGCTTACATCTCCTTTTCGTCCGCACCGGGCGAAGCTAGACAAAAAATCACGTACACGCGACTCTTTTGGCTTCATCATGTTACACCGGGAACGGCACATTTCTCGAATACAACGCGAACATCTTCACACCGTTCATTCGGTCACCCTGCGGCTTCATGCCCTTGGTATGCTGTGCACAGCCTTCACACCTTCCCTTTTTAAGCCTACTACTGAGGACGAGGGCGCCTCTGCGCCCGAAGTCCGGAGCCCTTGTATATATAACATGATATCGGAGCCCCCTCTTGTAAGGTACCCTCTGATCACGGAGCCACGACTGTATAGGACATCCCCTGCATGTCTCTACTGGATCAACGACACAATTATCGGGGGGAAATCCCCCGTGATGTCATGTGTTACAGAATGTGGCCTTCACACGGAACACGGCGCAGTGTCGTTTGACAGCTGATGTACCCGCTACCATTTCTATCTGTACATTTGAACTGTTTTTGAATGAAGGGGGTGCAGAAAAGGGGTTTTGACGCTGGCTCTTTTCCCATTCTCTGATCCTATACAAAGAAACAAAACAACCTTCCCGCCAGGGTTCGGTTAGGCAGTCTATTGTCAGCAGTAGAGGACACCATGAAGAGCCGTCGTGCGTGCTGGCACGTTCAGGTTTGCTACTGGAGCGGGAATATCGAAGGTCGCAGCAGCCTCTGAAAACAGTCCGAAATCTGCGCCGGAACCAAGCGGCATCCAACATTTGTCACAGCCATGCTCACCGCCACGGGGAACGAAAACCCCTGAACGGAGGGGTGTCAGCAGTAGCTAGTGGCATCAGCTACTGCTGTAAACCCGTAGTTCAGGAGATTGGCGTTGGTGGCTGCGAGCATGTCAGCGACAAATGTTGGATGCCGCTTGGTTCCAGCGCAGATTTCGGACTGTTTTCAAAGGCTGCTGCGACCGTCGATACTTCAACTCCAGTAGCAAACCTGAACGTGCCAGCACGCACGACGCCTCTTCATGATGTCCTCTACTGGTGACAATAGAATGCCTAACCTAACCCTCAAAACTGACCTTGTTTAAGCGCCTTCCGTTTTGGCTCCCTTGACTTGAATTTAGAACAGTGTGAATTTTTATGTTGATTTCAAGCTAGGCCTGTGGAGGTAGACGCGTGAAATGTATGTCTTGAACAGCCTTTACTGCCGCCCTGTGCGAGAGTCAACGACTTCTGTTTTGCGCGGTGCCTTCCTACTGGTCTGGTGTGTCTGTTGTGCAATTTCTGGTGCTCTTGCGTTTGTTTTGAAAGTTAGTCAACATCAAGATTCTGCACCCCCTTAAAAAACAGGAGTTGCGGATTCGAGCAGCCGTTTCCCGCTCTTCTTGAAATCCACAACAATTGAATGTGACATTGATTACATATACCTGTGCGATGAGTTTACATGTACACATGTACTGTAGGTGAGGCGCGTTTGAGGGAAGTGGGGATACATACTGTAGTAGCAGATAGGAAGGTACTAGCAGTTCGTTTGTACCAATTGGAGTTCAATCCTTCTCATCTGTAATGGAATAATATAGGGTATCCACTATGGATTGACGCGGAATTTTGACCTTTGAGGATTGACACCAACATAAAATAACGGTTGAGGGTTTTGACCGGAAAAAATTCGCACCGCGTGTGCCCGTTGGCACGTGGGAGGGGAAAAAAAAAATGGTGGTATAGAGTTGACGCAAGTTGACGCGTTAACGCCGGTCATGTTCACGACCCCGGGTTGGTTCGGGATGCCACCCAGGGTCGACATGCTGAAGCGAAGACTCACACTCCCAGGCTCCGAGGAGACTAGGTGTACCCCTCCGCCTCATCCCGCCGACCTTCCCTCTTTTGCCGCGGCGATTCCCAGGCGTCAAACTGCCGTTGCTGATGAGTGAGGCAGCTGCTCGCTGTACTGCGTACCGATGTCACTGCGGCAGCAGAGCACCGAACCCCGTGAGGGGGCGGGCGAAATGCACCTACTGACTGGCCAAGTCCGTGTACCCTCCCTTAATCCTCTATATGTGGTCCCTTCCAGGGGGGACTCCCCTGATTACTGCCTATGCCCCTTTGTTCTGCTGAAAGCCCGTGCGCAATCGCGATGGCTCATCTACCGAACGCGCGCGCCGAACACACGCGCGAGTCCGGCCACTGGGCCGCCGTGAGAACTGCCGAGACGTGTGTGTGCAGGACCGCTAGGAGCAATCAGTAGGCATGGCCAATATGTTCGCTGCTGACCGCGCTCCTTTCGTGATTTGGTGATGGTAACAGAGCACAGAGCACGCGTGTGTGAGCCACAGTCTGGCGATATTTGAAGTGTCAATCTCTTCGCGTCGGTTTAAGTTTTGTCGCTTTTTCACAAAAATTTCGCCGTCAGAGTTTGCCTCCAAAAACGCGGCGTAACCTCGTCACGTCAAAACTTCCTGAAATGTCAATCTTTCACGTCATTTCAACAAGGGAAATAGACACAAGTGGGTATACCCACCCCTTTCTCGGACAAAAGTGGGTACTCGAAAATCCAGCGCGCGCGCACTCCATAGGCGACCCCCAAACGACTCAAAACCCCATTCTGACACCTGGGCGACACAGCCAGGGACCATACACAGCACGGGCATCGATTTTTTCCCACTTTTAGGCACACCTTTGGCCCTAATACCGCCGACACGCGCAAGGCCTCACCAGAGTGCCCACTTATGTCCGACATCGCGGTGGGTATACCCACCGGCGTCAACTAATTTTTTCATGTACCCACTTGTGTCTGTATTTTGACCCACTTTTGTCCAAATTGTACCCACTTTTGCCCACTTACGGACGCCAAAATCGAGCGGAAATCGACCTCCACGTCACCGCACTGCAGAACATCGAATAGCCTCGGAACGTCTCAGAACCTCCCAACACCGTATCCATGACATCTTTCCTATCCATGGCTGCCGACTGCGGACCGACCACGGAGGAACATATCAGCAACATGCCAGACCCCTTCGGTACCGGCACGGGAAGATACCAGGCACGGGAAGATACCCGCGGCAAGCCTACTGTTGCCGTGACGAGCCGGTGTGCACTCGTCGTGGTGGTTGGTGTTTTTGTGTGTGTGTTGTTGCTGTTTGCGCGTCTTTTTGTTCTGTATGCGCGACCCGTTGGTTGTGTTGTCCGTTGTGTGTCACGCATTTATTTGTGGCGTGCCGTTAGTGCGCTTCTTGCCGGGCTTGCCGCGGGTATCTTCCCGTGCCTGGTATCTTCCCGTGCCGGTCGGTACCGAAGGGGTCTGGCATGTTTCTGACATGTTCCTTCGTAGTCGGTCCGCAGTCGGCAGCCATAGATAGGATGCCATGGATACGGTGTTGGGAGGTTCTGAGACGTTCCGAGGCTATTCGATGTTCTGCCGTGCGGTGACGTGGAGGTCGATTTCCGCTCGATTTTCGCATTCCGTAAGTGGACAAAAGTGGGTACAATTACAATTTGGACAAAAGTGGGTCAAAATACAGACACAAGTGGGTACATGAAAAAATTAGTTGACGCCGGTGGGTATACCCACCGCGATGTCGGACATAAGTGGGCAATCTGGTGAGGTCTTGCGCGTGTCGGCGGTATTAGGGCCAAAGGTGTGCCTAAAAGTGGGAAAAAATCGATGCCCGTGCTGTGCATGGTCCCTGGCTGTGTCGCCCAGGTGTCAGAATGGGGTTTTGAGTCGTTTGGGGGTCGCCTATGGAGTGCGCGCGCTGGATTTTCGAGTACCCACTTTTGTCCGAGAAAGGGGTGGGTATACCCACATGTGTCTATTTCCCTTTCAACAACACGTGGATTCCCTCTAATAGCGAGGCGAAAACGGACGGCGGTTAGCAAGGCAGCAAGGCAGCAGTACAACATGTATTTTCTTCCCTGTTTTCTTGGACGGGAGTCCAAGAATGTTGTTGAGACATTTGGAGCGTGTCGTAGCCATGTTGCAGAGCATCCGTCGTGAAGAGCAACAGCAGCAGTGAGTAGCTGTACATATAAGTCATCTTCGTGTTGAGTGTGGTGGATACTACACGACGAAAGGCACACACGCGTATCCAAGTTCTACACACCTGGGACCTGGGTCGTGAGACCCCGATTTAGACCCTTCTTTATGGAAACAAAATCTTGCAATTAAATCTTGGCATTTTGACCCAAGATTTGCTCGTAAAAATCCTCCCCAAAGATTTGCAGTATCGCGATTTATGGGGAAAAAAATCTTGTGAGCAAATGTGCGAAAAATCGAAGGCGTTACTCATGTTCGGGGCTGCTGCTTCTTTTGAAATGCGTGTAAAAAAAAAAGTGCCGCCGCGCTCACCCTCTTCCAGCATTCGCCCTCAGCACATACATTTCACACTCGACACAGCCAGCCAACTCCTGCATCTCTCCCGCATCAAGACACTTCCGACAGCGTTACAGCATACACAACAACATGGCGATCAACTTTGATATCTCGATGAAGGCGCCTCCTCTCAACATAGACCTGACCGAGGACATGATGTGGGGTTTTCACCGCTACTGCGACAAGTTCGGTGGGAGGAAGATGAACCAGGCGGGATTGAAAGCGCTACAGTGCGTGCCCATCGCGCACGCTGCGCTGGCGGTCAAGCAAGGGGAGGACATGAAGTCGGACGTTCGCAACGCTGCTATGTCGAAAAGAATGCAGGAGATCGCAGTCCCCGGTTGGATCAAGGTCTGCGAGGCGGCGATCAAGGACAGCCAGGGGGAACTTGTGTTCCCGCACGGCTGGAAGGATGCCCTCTACTACACCACACTAGGCACAGGTGCGCCCCATTGAAGCATGTGCGGTCGGGGGGATAGTGGAGATCATTGGGGTACGACGGTAGCTAGATCTTGGTTGTTTATGTTGCGTGTTTAAAAAGGGCGCAAATGCTGAGTGGAAAATACGGGGAATATAGCTTGTTGTTGTCTGGTACGACTGCTGTGCTGCTGTAAACCCAACGGCTTTCGTAGCATATCAACGTGCATGCACTGTGACAGGGTCGTGGTTCAATAATGTACTGCTGTCATCACTAGAAGCAGCGGCAGTACAAAACAACACGAGGAAGTCGGTACCTATATGGGCTGTTTTGCTTCGGGTTGGGGTTAGGAACTTGTCGTATAAGGCGTGACTCATGATGTTGGTGCCGTACCTTTTTTTGAAAAAAATATTCTTGCATTCGTCTAAAACTTGTACTTGAAGTACCGGTACTATTTTCAATGAAGTACAAAACAGCAATGGTGGGCGGTAGTTGTCTCTCCCTTCACCCCGATCGTGGGTGTAGATTGTATCGACGTTTCGCAGTACCACTCGGGATGTCTATATTCTAGGTTGTATTTCAACAGATGGTTAGACCCCAATAAACACAGCAACTCATCATACCGCTGTACGAGCAAGCGTGTTGCGCCGATGCACAATTTTGTGCACGGTAAAATGCCAGCAAGTACATTACGCACATCTACGGTGAACGCCAACACTCTGAGCATGTACCCTCTTCCTTTCTTTGTGATGCGTAACGTGGGCACGTGTTGGCAGGGGAAAACCCCAGGCAAACCTTCATGAAGAACCCCAAGGCACTGTTCACGAAGTTCAAGGCCCTGAAAACAGAATATACGAAGGGAGCGCAGCTTTGGTTCGACACGTGAGTACGGCATGCTCGCGCAACCTTTAGCCTAATCCTTGGGCGACCAATCAGTACGGTCGCCTCCTCTGTTTGATACCCAGATTGTGTTCGTACTCCGAATAGAGACTGGTCCTGGAACAAGCGTCGTTGTGATTGGATGGAGGAGGAAATTGGAAATTGCCCCCCCGCCCCCCGCGGTGGTCGAGTACGTTGTGTTTGCGGGATCGAGAACCCTCACTCCGCTCAAAGGGAATAATCGCACGCTGTGCTAATTTGGTCAAGCACCCTTGAGGCAGATACACAGCGCTTCCAACTGTCTCTGGAAGTGAAAGCACCAGAAAACAAATTAAGTCATACGCAGCTGTCATCGGTACGCAAGGAAGCACAAGATGCCGAACACCCCTAGCAGGATGCAGCGCACCCTTCATGCGACTCGCAGAATACCTCACGGTGCTTCGCGCTTGGTGATGTGAGAGTCTGGTCCGGTGAAAACCCGGCGTGCTCCGTCCCGGCTTTGTATGGATGCGAGGTCAATGGTCTAACGACTACGGCATGCACGACTATGAGTACACCCCCCCCCCTAGCGAGGACGCGTGGTCAATTATCTAACAGGTAAGGCTTTAACGACAGACACCCGGACGACCCCCCCTCCCCCCCCATGCAACTTGTTGGAGGTGGTGTCGGGGTCACGCCATTACACGAAAGCCTGCCCCCCTTGCCCCTCTATTTTCTCCAAGCCCAAGTAGATAACGGGCACACGACCGCGTGGGTATTGTGCACGCAAGAATTTGTGGTTGAGCGATTACCATCCGATTGCAACGCACAGACCACCGCAATAAAAGACCACGACGATGATTCCTCTCTTGTTGACCTGCTCCCGTCCCCCGTCCATCCTTCTTCGCACCCGGTCCCTCCCTACGTTATATTTTTGCAGTCATCCCGAGAGCAGTACCGAGTTGAATTCCGGTACCCAGACGACGGACGCGCTCGACGACCTGTCCGCCGACATGTACCGCAAGGCCACCAAGGGCAACGCTGCGAAGGAAGATGCCGCCGCCGACATATTTTTCAACACTCCACGACGTAGTGCAGAAGGAGTGGTCGTTTCCGGAGTCACGACTACCTCGCCCCTTCCAACGCCAGCTGCGGATGCTGCCATAGCCGCCACCACCTCTACGGGGGCCGCCGCCGCCGCCGACGACGACGACGACACCTCCCCCCAGGCTCTCGCCAGGCGGGCCGCCGAAGCCCTCCGTCGAGAGATGGCGTCACCTACAGCCTCGGGTTCCGGTTCTGGCGCAAATCTCGGTCGGCCAGAAGGCAACGAGGATATACCGGACGACTACTACTACCCCTACCTCCTTCTGGCGTGTCCTTGGAGCTCGTGGAGTGGCAACACCCCCTCCGAGTGGAAGCACCTCGCAGCATCGAGCGGGCCGCGGAACCGCGCCAGCAAGGGCGACAAGGGCAACTCCAACGGCAACGACAACAGTAACGAGGTCGTCATCACCGACGACAACCCTATCGGCAGCCCCAGAGCAATGGGTCTGATGAACGCAAACGGCGACGCCGTGAGTCGCCGCCAGTATTTCGCCAACATCAAGAAGGAGAAAGAACAGGTCAAGAAGGATGCCAAGGAGAAAGAAAACGTTGCGCTGAGGAACGAGGCGCTCGACACGAGGAAGAGGGGCTTGGCCGCGATGGAATCGGCCAACACCCACGTCGGGGAGCTGTCGTCCAACATCAAGAAGATGGTGCAGCTCCAGGAGGAGTCCAACCTTGCGGCCAGGAGGAAGGATAAAATAGAGGCGCTGGAGAGGAAGCTCATGCTGGCCATCTCTGATCCGAACATGGTGAAGGCGCAGCTCAATGCCTTGCTCGATGAGTATTAACATGCGTGAACAGCAGTCTTCTGTGTACAGATCGCCAATGCGTAATAGGTTGATAGATGCGGTTAGGCAGGAGGCAGTTAGGGTTGGTGTGGTCAGTATTCTGTCGGAATCACAGCCCTTTTTTTCCTCTCCTTGTTCTCTTGTCAATATTTTCAGGGAGGGGTTGTTGTTTGGTTGATGATGCAGAGCAGCGCTAGAGAGCGGTAGGCACATCCCTTTTTTTTTTTTCTTCTGTCGTTGCTCACTTGTCAATATTTTCAGGGAGGGGTAGGTGTTTGGTTGCTGGGGCAGAGCAGCACTAGAGAGCGGTCGGCACATCCCTGTTTTTTTTTTTCTGTCGTTGCTGACTTGTCAATATTTTCAGGGAGGGGTTGTTTGGTTGCTGGGGCAGAGCAGCACTAGAGGCAAAGCAGCACTAGAGAGCGGTCGGCACATGCCTGTTTTTTTTTTTTCTGTCGTTGCTGACATGTCAATATTTTCAGGGAGGGGTAGGTGTTTGGTTGCTGGGGCAGAGCAGCACTAGAGAGCGGTCGGCACATCCCTGTTCTTTTTTTTGTCGTTGCTGACTTGTCAATATTTTCAGGGAGGGGTTGTTGTTTGGTTGATGATGCAGCGCAACACTAGAGAGCGGTCGGAAAATCCCTTCGATTGTTTACTTAACTTGTACCACGTGTAGCTCACGTAATGTAGAGCATTAATTGGAGAGGGGTGTTTTGGTTGCGAGAGCAGAGTATTCCATTTTGAGGAGATGAGGGAACGCTGCGTTTTCGTGTTGAGTGTTACGTTGCCTCATGTAGGGCCTGCAGGGCAGGGGAGTGCATGGTTGAAATACCCAACATGGAGAAAGGGTATCGTCAGCCATCAAAACTTGACGTCCATATCAATTTGTCTTTGAAACAACAAACATTAATTCAAAAATTTCGATAGTTCGACCCTCTGAGGCAGCATGGTTTTGGCTCCGAAGCATTTTGTTTCCGGCGTGGCAATGACAACGTCCACGCCACGGCGCCAGCTCAATTAATCAGCTGCAATTCATGTGTACCATCGTGGTTGGATTCCGAAATTATTTAAGCCTATCCCACTTAGAAAGCAGAACAATACATCGAGTGGCCACCCACAACCAATGGCCAGCCAACCCTCCTGTACGACGTCTTCGACAGGAGAGACCATAACCCGAGGGAAAAAACACACACAAACGGTAGGCCTCGGCGACGGTCATTACATATGCGCTCCGACATACGAGTTTGCGGGAAGCTTGTGGATGGCGACAGACACGTGAACTCTGCCAATAATTTTTTCAATCACTTCCTACCTCACGTACATGTAAATGCAAAGTTAATGTACGTGACAACTAGAAAAGATACCTAAAAAAATCAGGGATGTTCCGACCGCTCTCTAGAGATGCCCTCCAACAACCGAACACCCACCCATGCTGGAAATACTGTTGACAACAGAACTAGAGGCGAGACAAAAAATAAAAAAACGCTGGGATGTTCCGACCGCTCTCTTGTGCTGCTTGGCCCCAGCAACTAAACACCTACCCATCCCTGAAAATATGACTGACAAGAGAATGAGCAAGGAGCGAAAACTAAAAGGCAGGGATGTTCAGACCGCTGCCTTGTGCTGCTCTGCCAACAACCAAACACCCATCCATGCTGAAAATGTTGTTGACAAGACAACTACTGGTACAGTAGAGGCGAGACGAAAAAAAAAAAAGCAGGGATGTTCCGACCGCTTCCTAGAGAGCTGCTTTGTCCCACCCAACAACCAAACACCCACCCATCGCTGGAAATACTAATGACGAGAAAAAAACAAAAGACGGGACCAGGAAAAAAACAAGGACTTCGCAACATTGTCCACAACACCCCGCTGGACATGGTGCACACCACAATCAGCAACCCCATCCACGAGACTACACTTGCGCCCTCTTAAACCAAAACACCTGCTTGATCCGCCACATGTAGGCGAAGTGGGCCACAAGTTTCGCGCGGAATCCGTCGAAGCCCGGGGCTGCGGTTTCGGTTTCCTCCTCCTCCTCCTTCTCGTCGCCCATGCCGACAGGCTGCTGGGGCATGTCGCCCAATTCCCCAGCCGACCCTACCCAGTCAGCATCCTCCTCCATCTCGTCCAGCCCGTTGAACTTGTGGAGCATGTTGTGCAGAATGCACGCCGTTAACCAGGCGTTGTCGATCTTCTCTCGAGAGCCGAAAGGGATGTTGCCCCTGAAAAGACGCCAGCGCCCTTTCACTCTGCCGAAGCAGCACTCGATGTCCTTGCGAACGCTCTCCATGCGCCTGCTGCATGAGTGCCTCTCGATAGAGTTGTGCGTCTTGATTGGCGGCATGAGCAGGGGGATCTGCAAACAGAGCGATTGTGTCGGCACAATTTCGGCACTCAGTTCAAGTTGCTGAAGACGAACATGACCTGATCAACATAACACAGAAGCGTCGCCGCTGGAGATTTTGTGACGTCAAGTGCTACTGCTGGGTGATTTCAATGGCATGAATCGATGTAACATGGCGGGGGATTCTTCTTACTTGCGACGGAGAGAAATAAAAAATACGACACAATATAATGAGCACACAGCTCCGTACAAAGCCCTATCGACTCAAGTATTTTTTTTTGTTTATACTACATCACAAACGGGACAACAGCGGATTGCGCGTCTATGGCAACCCACACCACGAATCACTAACCATTGTTGGGGGACTGCAACGGCATGCTCTCTCTTACCCACCCTTGAAGAACCCACACATTGCCAACTATTTTTATTGCGCCCAACACTTTTGAATGTATAACGTAATTGAACGTATAGCTCATCTACGCCGCGGTAAACCCAAGAGCTTTACTCTGCCCTCCTGCTACATGTACTGACCTTCGGGTACCCCCCGTCTACAATGAGCCACGCTCCTGTGTACTCCGTCTCTGTGCCGTCGGCGTTCCTGAGCTTGTACTTCATGCTCTTCCAGGGTTCCTCGTCCCTGATGCGCCAGACGGACTTGTCGCGAGAGATGATTGTCTTGTCGTTCTCGGCGCCCGGGTAGCACTTGGTGGCCGCAAGAATGCGGCCAGCATGGTCACACATCGCCTCCACTACGACAGAGGGATAGCCCTCCTTGCCGGTGTGGATGCGTTGTTCCGACCAGGGGCATCGATCCCACTTGAAGTGGTTGCAGTCGATCGAGCCCACCGCCCCGGCAAGACCACACTTGCGGTAGATAGCCTCCACGCTCTTCAGATCCTCTCCCACGGGAAGTGTAACCCATGTGTCCCACAGGGCCTTGGCAAACTCCTCGGTGAACGTGTAGAAAGAAGTCTCTGCTGTCGTACGGCTCATCCCAGACATGGCGGCGACATCCCCAAAGGTGCATCCAGATGCCAAGATTTCAACGCTCCCAAGATCTGCATATGCATACGTGCGGCGGAAGTATGGGCGGGTACACGTGAATAAAAAACAACTAGTACTCCGGTGTTCGACAAGCATCGCCCCACGTTCCAGCAGCTGCGTCAAACCGAATGCTAAAATGTGCCGTCTCACTATTGCGTATGGCATGTCTCAGGCGTCATGGTATTGTTTGATCTCTCCGACATGCGGTGTCGACCATGTCGTGGTCTCAACACGGACAGAATTGAACCAGGACTGGTGCTCGTTGTCCTTTCTACGCACATGTGCACACAAAACACCGACTGATGCACGTCGTTGGAAGCAACCCCAGACATCTATAGTGGGCTGCTGCTGGGATTCTCATACTTGTCGAAGCGCACAGCTGAAGCTGCGTTTGCGACACTGCTGTGCGCGCCGCCGTTGACACACCGACTGCTGTTGTGTAGAATACAATCGGAGAAGGAGAGGCACTGCTGTGTTCCCCCGCGAAACATCACAACTACTGCTGCTGCACTACCCCCACGTGCAACAGTACTCTAAAAATAAGCACGCTGAGGATAGATACGTAACCAGGGTTGCTGCTGCTACACACCTTCAGTTCGAGAGGGGGGCAACGCCGGCCCGCGACGTCGCGCACGGCTGACGTGAACACCGGGCGGACCGCATGGAGGATGTGGAGGAAAATGGGATACGTCACGCGAAAATGGCGAACAAATTCATCTGCCTCCCTGCAGCCGGGATCGACGCCGCCTGGGTGGCGCTCATCTCCCCTAGCTTCTTCAGCCACGTACCCCAGGCCGAGGCGTCGTAGTCTGGGCGCGCGTAAGACCGACGTGTCTGCCGTTCTTTCTCCTCCTCCTCCTCATCGTCGCCGAGCCAGCTGGCCTCTCCATCTGCTTCTTGAGCGAACCCATCAAACCCAAACTCCTCGTCCCCGCAATCCATTTCTTGAGTCAGATTCTGCACATGGGCCACTGCAGCAGCTGCGGCGGCAATCATCGCTTCACTTTCGTCCGCCTCCATGCTGTGCTGCCGTGTTTTCGCGTGTGAGCTTGTCTTGGCGAGGCAACCAGCCCCAACCAGCCCCAAGCGGCGCAATTAAATGACAAGAAAAAGTTTCGCCGCCTCAAGATTTGTCGGAAGGCTCGACTTGACAAATCTTGGGTCAAGATTTGTTCGAAAGGGCAGATTTCGGGCCTCGAAAAATCTTGGCCAAGATATATCGGAAGATTTTGTTCCCATAAATCGTGAAACTGATAGATCTTGGCCAAGATCAAGATTTATCGACAAGATTTTGTTCCCATAAATCGGGGTCTATAAGATCTAAGATCTGTCGAAACGAGTCTTCCGACAAATCTTGAGGCGGCGAAACAAATCTTGCCTGGGTGCGGCGCGATCACCGAAGGTCGGTCAACCTAATCGTCCATAACACCATGAAATCTGCACGTGGCACACTCGCAAGGGTCTCAAACGCACCCTGGCGTCACTGTGTCAGCGCCACGGGCGCCGACAGCGAACGACAAAGACCAAGGCGCGCGAAAAAAATGCGTATTTGCCCTGGCTCGTTCCACGTGCGTCATCACCAGTCTGTCGAGGGACCGTTCAAAGGGTACTTTGTTTTGAAGTAGAAAAATATAGGAGGAGGAACATTTTGCCAACACAGCAGCTCTGTCGTGTGCGACGCTTCAATCTCTTCATCGAATCACCCCACACCTTGCACCTGAGCCAGATCCGTGAGTGCAGATGACAGCGCCGGAGGTTTGACCTCGTACGCCTGCTACATAGTGAGATACGTGCACGGGTGTAATCGGCTTCGGGTTGATGCACTTTCTTGTCAGTTGGACAGCAATGGAACAATTTTTTTTCTCCGCTTGATATGAGCTCGTCGGCAACGGCTTCCACTTTGCACCCCAGGTAGGCGCCCATCGCTAGTATCCACCCATAGTGTTGAAGCAATACAGCTGGGGGAGGGACCCTCCTTCTACAACTGCGTCATGGTCACTTTTCGCCACACCTTGGCATTTTCTGTGGACCAAGTGGCCGTTGTGCCTTTATCAACTTCAAGCAGAAGAGAGGAACAACTCGCCGCTTTTTCAACATTTAACATATTTTCCCCATAAATCGCGATACTGCAAATCTTGGTGGAGATATATTGTAAGCAAATCTTGGGTCAAAATGCCAAGATATATTTGCAAGATTCTGTTTCTATAAAGAAGGGTCTGATAACCAGCGGAAGAGGTTGATGTCAGCCACAAGGTCAATGTGGGAGAGCAGCTTTGCACGAAACTCAATACAGCCTTCCCGCCTTGCCTCAAGTCTTATCGGAGAGTACAATGTATGTGGTACCGCCCGTGGCAGGGATCCGAATGCCGGCTGCTCCGAACACACGGGAGGCGAATCAAACTGTGTGCAAAGGTGCTTCCCTGAGCAGAGCTCAAATGCAGATTTGGAGACCATCGATAGGGTTGAATTTTCACCTGGTCAGATGACGTCATTTGGTCTGAGATTAGAAGAAATTTTCCCTTGGTCAGATGACGTCATTTGATCTGAGATTACTTCTGCTGTAGAAAAAAAATTTCACGAGTAATTTTTTCACGGTGATTTTTATTCGCGTTGGCATACCTTGTATATTTTTCGACACAACCAATCCATGTCTCCGTTGTTGTTGATCACTCGCATTCAAAACTCACAAGATAGCTACCAAACTGCTTTGTTGAGCCTGTTACCCGCAGGGGAGATGTCCCTATTTGCTACCTGGGAAATCGTAGACATACAGGTAGCTTTTTCCGGCGGAATTCGATGCTAATCTGTCTCTGACTCTTAGAGATGGATTCGTTGTGTCATACAAAGAAAAAAACAAAAAAAAAGTGATCGACTTGCACTTCGCCACCCCGAAAAGCATCGCGGATACCTACGCAAGGATACGAGTCGGCGATACCCAGCGGCTCATTACCCCGCCCTATGGCATCTCTGCTCTGCTGTCTGTCTACATCAACTGCTGCTTCGCTCTCTCCACTCACCGACACGAACAACATGCATCAAGGGTGTTCTCCGCGGTTGCTCCAAACACCCGGCTGCTGCATGCACCCCCCCGCCGCGTTTAGTTTTTTTCCAGAAGTAGATGCGGGGAACCTCTCTCGCCAAGTTTTGTGCACACACACAAGCATCCAGCTCTACTGCGAAGTAACACGCCCCAGAGGAAAGGAGGAGTGCTTACGTCTGGAGACTCGCCCCGAGCATGTAAGTGTGTACAGCAGTCAGTGCAGTGCACGTGACAGTAGTGCGGGTGTGCGACAGGGGGAGCCACACATATACATGTATTGCTGTAGATGGACTTGCTTCTTCTCGGCGGACCCAAACCCACTGCCAAACTAAGGTTGGTTGCACCTCTACTACATGCCAGGGTATGTGCTCACCGCCATAGAAGCTCGCCTGAAGCCGTTTAGGGCTGCTCCCGACCACGCGCGTTTCAGGAGAGGAGTTACTTGTGAAAGGCCTCTCCGGCGGAGGTATGTTTTGATTCCAAATTCGGAATAAAACATGGGGTATTTATCACTTTTTTCCAGAAGTACCTCTCTCGCCAAGTTGTGTGCACACACACAAGCATCCAGCTCTACTGCGAAGGAACACGCCCAGAGGAAAGGAGGAGTGCTTACGTCTGGAGACTCGCCCCGAGCATGTAAGTGTGTACAGCAGTCAGTGCAGTGCAGGTGACAGTAGTGCGGGTGTGCGACAGGGGGAGCCACACATATACATGTATTGCTGTAGATGGACTTCTTATCGGCGGACCCAAACCCACTGCCAAACTAAGGTTGGTTGCACCTCTACTACATGCCAGGGTATGTGCTCACCGCCATAGAAGCTCGCCTGAAGCCGTTTAGGGCTGCTCCCGACCACGCGCGTTTCAGGAGAGGAGTTACTTGTGAAAGGCCTCTCCGGCGGAGGTATGTTTTGATTCCAAATTCGGAATAAAACATGGGGTATTTATCACTTGACATATTTCAAACTCGCGTTCCCGGTTCCTTGATATTTATTTGGCTATTTTTGTCCCGAACCATGGTTCAGGAATCTCCGTGGAAATCCAATTTCTATTTCAAACTCGTGGGGTACATATCTTTGAACGGGGAGGCCTTGATACCGTATATGACACAAGATACCACCGGTACATAAGATACCACACCCCCCACAGAATACCACACCCCGGTGGTAATTTTGGGCGTTTCTGACAAACCATCGATTTATCACCGGGGGTACATAAGATAACACACCCCGGTGATATTTTGGTTGCGCCGCATACATTCACGGGGGCCCTCCCTTCTTATCACCCGGGTGATACAGCATCTGCCCTGGGCATCACACACACAGCCACGGCATCTGTGTGCGGGGAAACACCCCGCATGGAGACCCCCAACAACATGAACGTGCAGGCAGAACAGAATGCAGCCGCAAGTGCCTCCGCTCCTTCGACAACTGCTTCGACTGCAGCAGCACAGGCGCCTCAGCAGATCACCTCCTTCTTTGGATGCGCGCACACTTCTTCTGCGCAAGAGGCTGCTGCTCCTGCGCCTGCTGCTGTTGATCTAACAGCAGCAGGAGCAGCTGGCGCAGCAGCAAACGCCAACATGTCACACCCTGCATCGCCTCAGCAGCAGCCAGTTGCGGGCTCGCTCTCAGCAGCACGTACGAGCA